AAAACATAAAAGGAAAAAATAAGCGACAGACAAAACAGTGACTATACCAACTGGGCATTTGGAAAGTGGGAATGTGAAATCAGGGATTAGATAGAAATGCAAGCGGGAAGAATTAGATGTTGTGATTTGTTAGAGTGCATCCCACATCGGAAGTCCAAATGTAAAATAATCCGGTATATAAGCTCTTGAGTTAAACTAACTAATCGATTGGATTCAATCTTTTAATGTGGTTCAACCCAAGTGTCTTATTACCCAATCTAGTTGTCCATACCCATCCTAAATTCTATCATGGTATCGGAGCAGGTTTTGGCCCACCTCATTTGTCAATGTGTCCGTCTAGACGTTCATTCCTAGCGGCCCGTTTGTCTTTAGCCCAGTTGTCCGTATGGAGTATGTATCCAACGGCCTGTGACCCTTGCTCGTCTGGAAGTCCATACCCAGCGACTCGTGGTCCTTTAGGTGTTGGCGCTCAAAAAAATCAAGGGAATGGGAGTTCATTTGCAAGTGGTCAACCGGTTAGATTCAAAATGGCCCGGTTGTCCACTTGAGGGGGAGTGTTAGAGTGCATCCCACATCGGAAGTCCAAATGTAAAATAATCCGGTATATAAGCTCTTGAGTTAAACTAACTAATCAATTGGATTCAATCTTTTAATGTGGTTCAACCCAAGTGTCTTATTACCCAATCTAGTTGTCCATACCCATCCTAAATTCTATCATGATTTATTAGAAAATCTTAAGCTATCGGTCTTGGGAGTGCCGGCGGTGAGGCGGCGCAACTTGCAACTGTAGAATGGGAAACAATTTTTTTAAGAGAGGTAGGCATAAATTTTGAAAAAGAAGGGGAGATTTATGTCAAGAGCCTATACTATACTACCACCCTAATTCTAGACTTCTACATATTTCCATCTAAAATCATATCCTCGGTAACTTTCCCTAAATTGTTCCATCACTTCCATGAATAACTCAATAGAAACTAAAATAAAACTAAAACTAAAAAAATAGTTTATTACTGAGTCACTATGACTATTGAAGTGGAAACAAGTGATAATTTCTTAAATGAATATTAGGTCCACGGACGAGTTATATGAACCTTCTCTAAGTTTGGGTTGGGCAGCTAATACTACGTCATTTTGACTCATCTGCGTACACAATTTGAACCCACTCATACCCACAACAACGCAACCCAGTTGGAATCCACGAGATTAGGGTCAGGGAACCCACTCATACCCATTTTTCAAAAATAATAGTTGGGTATGTACTTGTACGTACCGAAGGAATACGAGTATGGGTACTTTAGCCAAAAAGGGAGTACCAACGTTTCATAGTTGACCCCCATTAGATAAGGAAATTATTTGAATCTTAGGACAACTATTTAGTCTTAAATTACTGAGTACTTGTAGAAGCAGTCCAAGGATGGCCCTGGAAATTCCCTTAGGTAGTCTTTGGAAACTAGAAATTCATTTGAATTCTTGGATTTTGATTCTACACTTTGAACTCTTGGATTTCAAATTAAAAAGGGGTGGATTTTTAATTGAAGTTTGTAGGGAATTATTGGAATTTGGCCCAAATTGAGATCCAACTTTTTTGAATTCTAAAACATGTACTTTGGGTCAAATCTGAAATTTCACATCCCAAGTTAAGTTCCTAAACAGGCCATTAACAAGTTTGAAATTCAGAATATTCGGTTTGTTTATATGGATGAACAATAACAACATTACCCCAGTGCCTCAAAGAACTATAGTTAAGAAGAGATAGTAAGGACTATAGTATTATGGAAAATTTTAATTGTTGCCCCAAGGGAAATGGTTGACAAACCAAAAAACCAAGCTTCTGTTGGGAAATGAGAAATTGATTTCTTCAATGCATTCATAAATTATTACTAACGAAAAAAAAACTTGCCTTTTTGAATTGTTAACCATTGCCACTCTTAACATTTCCTTTTATTATTGGCAATACAATAATTTTACATACAAACATATTCCCACCTCCCATTATCACTCTTCCCAGTCCCCATGCTCTGATTCATTGTTGAGAATAAAATTAAAAATTCCAAGTCCCAAATCCTCAACTCTTCTTCCCATAAAACAAGAGGATATGAGTCATATTCCCAATCCCACCATCTAATTCTCATGAAAAAAGCTCCCTTTTTGAAATTCATCTCCAACCAAACAATAGAAGGTTAAAAAAGTTCACTTTTTCTTTCACATTGGCGATCAAGCATGTCTGCATAAAAAAATTCACTTTGACTGCCAGAAGATCTATACATTGGTTTTTAAGTTTTGGAACTACCGACCATGAATCTAATAATTCATTAACAATAAGAAGTAAAGAACATCTAAAATTTAGTTTCATATCTGGAAAATCGAAAAAAGAATTGATTTTTGGACTATTTATACAAGGTTTGAGAGTTGAAGCAGCCAAGACTGAAGATGGAGGTAGAAAGTATGAATTGAAATACCTGGATTGAATTGGGTGTGGAAGAAGAACTGTGATTTGGGAGTCTTTGCAGAGCGGATGAAAATCGTTAGACGTTTATATGTGGTATGAGTCCAAATCTGGAATGCTAAATTGAGCTGGGTTTACAAACAGGCCCAATATACTCAATAAATAATACTTACTACGCACTCCGTAACCTTTATAATTAAGGGGTATATTGTATAAGGATTCTTATTCATTTAAATAGAAATCAGTGGAATTTGAAAGTTTGGGTGTATTCAGTTGCAACTTTTTAAAGCCTATAAAAATCTGGGTGTATTCAATTAGAATTTTAAAAAGTCATTATAAATTCAACCAAAGTCTAGCGGTATTCAAAATAGACTTTTAAAATTGGGAAAAAATCTAGAGGTATTCAAAATAATATTAAACCCATGGATTTATTAAAATCATTCATATATGAAGATATTTTACTCCATGACTATAAATACTCTTTCTCCATTATTTTCTTTACACAGGAGCAAGTTGATAAATTTTGTTCATCAATTAAATTAAAATTACATTATCAATTAGTATTAAAAATAATACAATTAGAATTATCTTGTAAAAAATATTTTAAAAAATTATTTTAGTTTATTATATATAAAATAATATATATATATATAATACTTATTTGGTTAAAAAAAATTTATTTTGTTATTAATATAGAAATATAATATTTATTTAATTGAAAATTAAAAGTAATTTTATTTGAGTGCAAAAAATATATATTGGACGGACATACTTGAATGGTGGCAGAGAAATCTATAAAATTATTCAAATAAAAGTCCATAGACTTGTTAAAATCCATAGAAATTATTTATATAAAATCAATGACTTTTAAAATATCAATAGAAGTCAATGACTTTCAACACAAGTCCATTGACATGAATAGAAGTCATTGATTTTAAAAATATGAATACAATTCCCTATACAATACACCCCCCTAAATATATTTCTTAAATAGTCTTCTGTCAAAAATATTTATTACATGTCAATCAAATAAAAAGTATTTTAATATTTTTCATCATCTAAGCTTAGGGAGTATATTTAATTAGGAGCTCATAAGATTTTTTTAAAACTTTCTAAATCTAAAGGTATTCAATCTGGATTTTCAAAGTATTTACAAATCTTGAGATATTCAATCTGCATTTTCAAAAATCTTTAAGAATTTTGAGTTATTCAATGAGGATTTTAAATGTCTTAAAAAGTCTTTAGGTATTAAACAATGAAATATTTTTTATAAACTGATAATTTCTAAGTAAATATTTTCTCGAAATGGAGTCTATGAGCCTACTCGGGGTAGGTTTGTTCCTCTAGCAGCCACTCACGTAAATATAAAGACCATTTCGATGATTTTCTCATAGATGGAAAATACAAAAATACTTTTCATTTAACTTTTATTTAATAGGTATTTTTATAGAGAATTATTTAGGGAATACATTTTAATTACAAAGGATCACATTGGTAATTATTGCTTATTGAAAACTAATTTGAAAAAACGCTTTATTAGAAAGGACTATTTTGAAAATTTACTCTAATAAAAATACATTCTCACATCTGTAAATGATGTTTATTTTTTCAGGAAATTTATTTAAAAAAAGTGTATTTATATTTGATGAATATACAATAACATTATATATTTAAATTTATAAAATACCACTTCAAACACGCACAAATATGAATTCTTTTTTATACAAAATTAAAGTTAAATTTTCTTACATATTTAATTCATTTAGGTGATTATTAAAAATTCAACCAAGAAAATATGTCCTAAGAACTTTTTATCGTGCTTAGTAAATTAAACTCTAAGCTAGTCTCCAAATGTCAACTCTCTTGAGCAAAAATGACAACTTTATGTAATTGTACTCTGCTCATTTTTTTCCACGATTCAAAAATAAAAAATAAAACGGCCATGCGCATGCTCAGATTGGAATTAGGTTTCGAAATACTTGTAGAAAAATAAAGGAAATTAAAACGTGATTCACAAAGAAAATCCTGAATTTTTGAGTTGAAAAATGTAGCATAAAAAAGATGTATGTAATCGTTTTTGGTTTATTTATTAGTGAGATCCACTAATAATTTTGACGGTTAATTAATGCATGTGTGTTTTATTATGTTGGACAAACGTTTTGATATAATTTCATTAGAAATATTTACAATAAATAGCACTAAAACTTAAGTCATTTCCCTAAATAGTACTTAAATTATTTTATTCCCTAAATAGCACTAAATAATGTCCAATGATGACCAATATTTACTTGAATAATGACTAATGCATAATGACTAAAAGTGCTACATTGGGAAGAAAAACACATGTGATGCTATCTAGGGAAAGTTATCATATTTTAGTGATATTTGAGTAAATTCCCTATATTTTTATGCCAAAAATAATTTATGGGTGATTGAGAAATTGAATCACAAAATTAACTGGTTCAGTTGATTGAAAATTATTGGGTTTTTCGAAGTATGTGAGATGTTCTCGTATAAAAAGAGAGAAGCATGAGTGAGCTTAGTAAAAAACTTTTATGAGGTTACAAAATTGAAGTCTACCCGCGCCCTTGTCAGCACCGTCCTTCCGGCTTGGGAAAAAATTCCGAGATAGAGAAAAATTATAGGATTGAAAAAATGCAGTCGCTGACTTTTTTGAAATTACTTTTTTTTTTTAATTTTGCCCGACTTCCTCTGAAAATACTTTTTTTAATATCAAACAGTCTGACACATTTTTTTGGTGTGTTAACAAAAATTTACACAGACACAAAGTATTTGTGCATTAACAAAAATTAGTTTTACACCAACACAAAATGTTGGTGCAAACCTGCGGGGTACAAAGTGAAGTACAAAATATGAGGTACAAGTAGCTTTATCCTAGATAAAATAATGAAAATAACCCTCAGCGTGATATACGTTTTTTTATAGTGTTTGTGCAAGAGAGGGTAAAAGTGTAAAACCCTCTTACGCTAGTTCACATAGTCCTCAGTTGCAGAGTAATGACCATAGAGAAGGTCATTAAGACATTAGCCTTTTCAGTAATTTATTTATTTTATTTTTCGACAGTATTTTTCTTCTCGGCCCGTTATAATATGTATCATCTAATACTCTCTCAATCCTAAAACATTCATCACAATTACTATTTACGTAGTCAAACTTTACTCATTTTCTTTACTTATTTTCGCTAGTTGTTTGATAAAATAATATAGTTTTGTCACCTCTTGTGTTGTAGAACTTTTGATGTAGTTTTTAAAGATATAAATTTTATTTTTTAATTTTACATATATGACAAAATAAATTAAACTGAAAATAAACTAAATTAAATTTTGTAAACAGAAATAGAAAGAACATTTTAAAAAGAAGGAGGTATTATTATTTGTGACATTTGGATATATACATCAGAGCTTTCAAGAATTAGCCTAAAGTACGACATAGCACGTTGTAAGTTAATTAAATGGATAATTACGTGTTTTGATTGAGTGGTGACATTCTCCCACGTTACATACATGCATTCTCCTTTTCTTCCAAAAAGAAAATCCACAATAAAATTTAGATGATTACTATGGGGTAACAAAAATGACATTCTATAAGCAAAGATGTTAAAGTATCATATCTTAAAGAAAAAAAATAATCGGTAGATAAGCACTTAAATTAAAATATTAACTGATTGGATTCAATCTCTGAATGTGTTTCATCACAAATGCTATTTGGCTCAATCCAATAGCTCTTAAAGAAAAATGAACAATTTAAAATATTTTATAAGGCTTTGTTTTGTACACGAAATTTAATCTATAATAATTTCATTTTTGTTGATTGGTAGCACAAAAATATGTAGATTTGAAAGTTGTAGTGCCAAAAGTGAATTGTTGTTGGAGAATTCAATTTCATCCAAATCGATTTCATAGAATTATAACTTCTAATTCTGTGAATTTCATATACCAAACGGACACTAAGTGAAAATTAGAGTATCACTCTTTTTGAACATTAATACTTATACTAAAAAGTACTGTATCAATTAAAACATTTAGAATAAATACGAAGAAAAACTCGTTTTCCTTTCTTTTTTCCCGAAACTCCTTTTCTTTTTCTACTAAAAATCTACTTTAATTTTAACCCTACTAATTTGTACATTGTTTATCACATCATGTCTTTTTATTAATAATCTACTCCTTCCGTTCTCAAAAACACTTCCTCTTTCATTTTTTCCACTTTCAACAAAACACTTCTCCTTTCTATTAAAAAACCACTTTTACCCTTACTTTTTCATACCCTACCTATCACATCATACTTTTTCTCTAATAATCTATTCATCACATCTTACTTTTACCAATCACATCAGGGGCAAAATTGGAAATCAACTATAATTTAACACTTCCTTATTTTTGCCCCAAATCAAAATGGGAAGTCTTTTTGCAAACAGAGAGAGTATCAATTACTTCTTTTTTCCTATATATAACATCAATTGTATTTTTAGAAAATTAACATAAAAATTTCTCTTACTTAAATTCTATGAAAATTAATAAGAGAAGAATTTGTAGGAAAGGTATTGAGATTGGGAATACTATTCTGAGATGACTTGTCCTCGCATGTCGTTAAGTCTTGTTTGGCATCATTATATTTTACTCCATCCGTCCTAAAAAATTTTTCCCACTTCCCCTTTTTCTCCGTCCTAAAACTACCTTCCCATTAGAAAAAAAAGATGACAAATAACATTAATACCCTCATGCATTTACATCGATTATCTTCTAACTCTATATTTTGAATGATTGTAAAAAAATCAAAAAATCTTTTTTAAGGAGGGTAAAATTTGAAATCAAAACTAAAAATTAAAAATGGAGAAAAGTCGATGGAGGGAGTACTTCGTACTTCGGAGTCAATTTTCTTCTTACAATCATGAATCATTCATATTGTTTTGTGTCCCTAAATTTCTGTATAAAAATTATGGTGTCAAAATTAAGATACTTTAGGCCTAATTCTTATGCTCCCCCTAGCTCAATTATGATAGTATTTGACTGAATTATTTTGTAATTAAATTTATATAAAAATGATAAACTCCATATAGCATAAAATTGTTAACATAAAATTTAAATATACAAAATTACATAAAAAGCTTTCACGAACTACAAAAAAAGAGTCATCTATTTTCGAAACTAAACAACATCTTTTAGGTAAATTTTTCTGTGTTCTGAAGGTTCATACTTATTTTATGGACTTTTTGTATTAGTAGCTTTAAAATTTTGGGCCTTTTACTAAAAAAGAAAAAGTATATTGTCAGTACATGTAACATGTTAGAGTTCACATTTCATATATGAACCTTAGAACAACAGAAGCACAATTCACATTTTTTAGGCAAATTAATTACTATCCATTACATTAAGTGAAATTTGCTCCAAGTATCCACTAACATTAAATTAATTAATTAATAATAATATTCATTTACTAGAACACTCTTATATCTCAATTAATTACTTTGCACTCCTATAAAATATACAATATATTTGTTTCTCCTTTAATCAATTCATCTTTCCTTGATTCATCTGCTTATATTTTCTCTTTATAGACATTGCAAAAAATATGGATATTTTTCACTGTATTGGGATATTGTAAAAATTATCGACATAAGAATTGTAAAATTGTGACCATTGTTTACTAAATGAGGACACTGATGACTAATGCAGTGGACATTTTATAATTGGAACAATGTCTTTTTTTAACTGAAAATGTCTTGGCAATGGACTTGTAGTCTTTGTAGACATTAAAAATTATATTGGACATTATTAGAGCGAAACTACATAAGTCATTAAATCATGCATTATAGACACTAACGGAGTGGTGGCAGGACACTGACATTGGCGTTTTGTGTTCGGCGGCTGTTGAAGGACAGTAACACGTGATGGGTCAGTAAATATAAAATCATATAAAGGACATTTTAATGCACTAGAATTAATAATTAATTAATTAGTACTAATTATAAAAATTGAATTTGTGTGATGCTAAATAACGAAATTCGTTATATTTTAGTGCTATTAAAATAAATTTGTCTTATATTAATAATTATTGGAGATAGACTTTTATATGATCAAATAAAGTAGGTGGCGTTATTAGAAGTTGAATGCAAGGATAAGCCATCATGCAAAGTTCAACGCTTGAAAATGTGACTAATAATAAAAGGATCATTATTAGAATTCTTATTTAGTATATCCAAGTTCGACAAAATTTATAAACATGTCTCATATTTTATTCAAATTAGCATTCAATTTATTTTGATGCATTTGGTTCCCTAGTTTCAGAGGTCACCGAGTTCTTGAATAGATTTTAACATGTCGTGCATAAGAATTTCTCAACTTCTCGACCTCGCATGCTTTTGTCTTTCGTAAGATCGATTTTGCTATCTAAAAGACAGTTGCAAAATGGCTTATTGCCACTGTTTGACTTTTTTATTAAACTATATGACACTCTTTGTTGGTAGATGATAGAAAAAGTATATTTAGTTTTAATGTAAATTTAGTAAAATTCATTTTATTTTAAAATATAATTTTAGAATATCAAATTTTTATAATATTTAGTTATTTTAAACTATATTTAATTTACGTTCAACGGGTGTCATAGTTTGACCAAAAAAAATCAATATGTGACAATGGTTTATGGACGGAGGGAGTAAAATATACTCCTCCCCTCCAACCTTAAAAGTTTTTCTACTTTCTGTTTTTACTAATAATCTAGATTTCACATTATACTTTTACTTACCACATCAATGGTAAAATGGAAAAATCAATACAAAAATATTTCTTTCTTAAATCAATCACATAAAAGTCAAAATGCAAACTTTTGAGGACGGAGAAGTATATGGTGTATTAATTAAATAAAATAATTTTTTAAATTTAAAAATATTTTATAAAATAAATCTAATACGGAGTAAAATACTCTACATCATTTTATCAATGTCTAACATCACTTTTATTTAATTTATGGTCAACGCTTGCTAACTTTGACCAAAAAATCAAAATTAAATAAATAATCAGAGATCGAGATAAAACTGTGCACTTGTTTTGGCCGCAGGTGGTTAGAAAAACATATGCTCCGTATTTACATTAATTCTCAATTGCCAACCCGTCATTGATGACTCTTTTTTTTATACTCAATTTCATTGAACACTCAAAGCATCATTAAAGGTAGATCATCTAGAGACAAACATATCAAAAAGTTAAGAAAACCAAGGGATAATATAGGTATACAGCAAGTACACCTGGCGGTGTTAATTTGGTACTCCGTATTATTACAATGCCAGTACCGAAAGAAATCAAAATTTTGGTAAATGGATATTTTGAAAAACTATGTTTTGTACCAAATACCGAATTATATATATTGAATCGGTTTAGTCTGGTTGATAGAATTTTGGATGTGGGATGAACAATTAGATTGGACAATTAGACACGTATTTGGGCTGAACCAAATTAAAAAATTGAATCAAATCGATTAATTAGTTCAACTCAAAAGCTTATATACCGATTATGTTACTCTTAGACTTTCGATATGGAATGTACTCTAACATTGGTAAAAATCGAAAAAAATGGGTTTGCTAAATGGACAAAAACTCATGAAACATGAATAAGAAATTAGTCATGAAATGGACAAAAAACTCATGAAACATGAATTAGAAATTAGTCATTAGTATTATATTTTAAAAAAAGATGAAATAGTACGTGTACTTTTGTTCTAGACAACGTGCGACATTGACTAATGCATTATTACCGTCGGCGGATTGGATTATTGAAAAAATAAGAATAAGACACGTTCGTAGTAGTCTTTAATTGACTAGGCATTAAGCATATGAGACCAAGAATAATTCACCAATCACCATATATTAAACTATAAATAAATAAATATATAAATAAAATATCATATGCTTTCCACTAATCAAAAGAAAAGGAAATTGCAAAGAAATGGTTCAACCACCCCTATGCGGACGTATATCTATATAAAGGGAACCACATTTGCAACCAAAGACATATATCTCATCAAGTCAAACACCACAAAAATACCATAATGGCGAGTAGTATCCAAGTCATGATCTTCACATGTTCATTATTCCTAGCTTCCTCCTCCCTATTTGCGGCGGTTTCCGGCCATTCTCTCGAGTGGTGGTGCCGCCAAACGCCGTATCCGCAATCATGCGAGCAATACCTTAAAGGTTGCGGCCCTATCAAGGACAAATCCGACTTCCTCAAAGTCACAACGAAGAAGGCTTTGGAATACGCCGAGCTGGCTAAGACCAAAACCCACTCGTTAGGGCCTAAGTGCAGGAACGAGCGCGAAAAGGCTGCGTGGTCTGACTGCTTGTATCTGTACGAGAACATGGTCGAGAGGATCAACACGACAGCTGATCCTCAGACTAAGTGCACTGCAACTGATGCACAGACCTGGCTGAGCGCGGCCCTCACGGACTTTGAGACGTGCTTAGCTGGGTTCACGGACCTCGGTGTCACGGGCAACATAGAGCCTTTGTTGGCAAGCAACTTCTCCAATTTGATTTGCAACAGCTTGGCACTTAACAAGGGGTACACCACCAGCGATGACACTGCCACATACCCAGACGGGTTCCCTGCCTGGGTGAAGCCCGGAGACCGGAAACTCTTGCAGTCCTCGGCCTCCGCTAATGCTGTGGTGGCCAAGGATGGGTCCGGGAACTATAAGACGGTGAGCGAAGCCGTAGCTGCTGCCGGGAAGCGGTCCGGGAGCGGGCGATTCGTGATTCAGGTGAAGGCGGGAGTCTACAGCGAAAACGTGGAGATTGGTAGTAAGGTGAAGAACATAATGTTGGTTGGTGATGGAATCGGGAAGACCATTATTACCGGAAGCAAAAGTGTCGGCGGCGGCGCCACCACCTTCAGATCAGCTACCGTTGGTAAGCTAAGATTCCATATATATCCAATCATTTTTTATTTGACTTTTCTTTTCAACGTTTTAAAGCTAATTAATAAAAAATTCATTTGACTTTTCTTTTAGCTGTGGATGGGGATGGCTTTATTGCACGGGGCATAACTTTCAGAAACACCGCCGGGGCGGCGAACCACCAGGCGGTGGCGATGCGGTCCGGCTCCGATCTATCGGTGTTCTACCAGTGCAGCTTCGAAGGATATCAAGACACCCTCTACGCCTACTCCGACCGGCAATTCTACCGCGACTGCGACATCTACGGCACCGTGGACTTCATCTTCGGCAACGCCGCGGTCGTGTTCCAGAACTGCAACATCTACGCCCGTAACCCGCCCAGCAAGACCAACACCATCACCGCCCAGGGCCGGACCGACCCGAACCAGAACACCGGGATATCGATCCACAACTCCAGGATCAAGGCCGCGTCCGACCTGGCGGGTTCCGTGGGGTCCGTCAAGACCTACCTCGGACGCCCGTGGAAGCAGTACTCCCGGACCGTGATCATGAAGACGTCCATGGACGGCTTGATCAACTCGGCGGGGTGGTTGCCGTGGGACGGGAACTTTGCTCTGAGCACTCTCTACTACGGCGAGTATGCCAACACCGGGCCGGGGGCGGCGACCGGCGGGAGAGTCAAATGGGGCGGGTATCACGTGATCACCAGCGCAACGGAGGCTTCGAAGTTCACCGTCGGGAACTTCATCGCCGGCGGGTCTTGGTTGCCTGCTACAAACGTGCCGTTCACGTCAGGCCTGTGAAGCTACTAGCTCTTGCATGCATGCATGAGTGCCATCACGCCTCGGGTCCGATTTAATTTGGAAATTAATTAAGCAACGCATATTTGTATATCGTAATTTTATTGTGTACTTCAGATTATTTTCTTTTTGAGAACAAGTTGTGTACTTAATTTGTACGTCTTTTCTGTATTTTGTTTGATAGAGTTGTCAATGCTCCAATTTTTTGTACTAAATGCGCTGATGTTATATAACGTATAATGAAATGTGATGAATTTCTTGCTTTAAGTTTCAAGCAACCCGTCACTTCAACTTATCTTGTATAGTACCTCATTTTTTAAAAGAAATATTTGCACTAAATAACACTAAAATTTAAGTCATTTTCATAAATAGCACTTAAATTATTTTATTTTCTAAATAACATTAAATAATATCCATAATGTCCAATGATGGCAAATATTTACTTGAATAAAATCTAATAATGCATAATGACTAAAAGTGCTACATTAGGAAAAAAACACACATGGTGTTATTTAGGAAAAGTCATTATGTTTTAATGTTATTTAAGTAAATTCCCCAAAAGAAATTTTCTACGCCCTCCGCAAATGTTCTTCCCACTTTAATTTTTTATTCATCCAAAAATATTCTTCCATTTCCTTCCTTAGCTCCGTCCACAAATAAACTTTACATTGCGCGTTATGATGTTTGACTGAAGTTATTTTCAAATCATTTTATATGAAAAATGGTGTAGAATGGAAAAATAAAAATTACATATTAAAAAACTATGTCAAAAGATCTACAAAACTAGAGATGACATGACTATATTATTTTATCAAATGGGTGACGAAAATAGGTCAACAAAGTGAATAAAGTTTGATCATGTGAATAGTGAACGTAAAGTTTATTTGTGAGCGGAGAAAGTATATATATTTTTTAAGAATAAATTTCAATAATACCCCTATTTTGTCACCAATCCACTTTTTTAAATAGGAAAGGAGATTTAAAAAATTAAAAGGATAAGCATTTTTGGAAATTTGGCATTATTTATATTACTCCTCAATAAGCGTGTCAAGTCAACACGGGATGAACATTCCCAAACGTATGGAGTAATTAATACCCTTCATTCCAAAAATAATCTTTCTATTATGCATTAGGATATTTGAATTGAATTATTTTCAATTCATTTTATGTGAAATAGTTAGAAATTACATATTTTAAAAACTGCATAAAAATACACAAATTAATACTAAAGGTGACATAGCTATACTTGGACCCTAATCTTGTTTCCTGGAGGCTGGAAGCAAAGCAGGTTCTCCAAGTCGTCCACCGAGGCCGAATATGGAGCCCTCTGTTCGTTGGAGTTGAAGTCATGTGGCTCTCCTATATGTTTGGAGTTTTGAAGATCAAGCTTCCTCCTCCTCACCTCTCTAGGTATAATAAGTCATTCATATATGCCAAACAAAATATCATGTGTTTCACAAATGAATGAAGCATGTTATATCCGACTGTCATTTTATTCGGGAACAAGTGATTGTTAAGATGATGACTCTTTTCTATGTTCCTCACAAAAGGGTTTCATTCTCCTCGCTACAGAGCTTTAATCTCTAAGCTTCCTCTCGTTTCACGGAGTTCAGCTTGAATGTGGATGTTAGTCAATAATAATAAGACGCAATGAATTGTACTCCCTCCGTCCCAAAAAGATTGATACATTTTGACTAAAGTGGTAAAATAAGGAGGGATATTTTGGTGTTGACTCTCCAAAAATACCCTTGATGTGATGGGTAAAAGTAGGATGTGATGGGTAGATTATTAGGAAAAAAGTATGATGTGATAGGTATGGTATGAAAAAGTAAGAGGTAAAAGTCGTTTTTTAATAGAAATGTAAAGAACTTTAAAGGACGCAAATTTTTCAAAACTTAACTGGCTTTTTGGGACAAAGCGAGTATTATTTATGATAGTATTAGTTGTGGTAGATTTCATGTTTTTTCCATTCATTTTATTTAAATATTGATACATAAATAAAAAATTTTTACATATTTAAAAACTACATAAAAATTATTCGAAATAAAAGTGTTTAAATATTTTATTTTATCAAATAATCAATGAAAACATACAAATAAACAAAAAATTTTGTGATTGTTGAAAAAGGAAATGTGGCAAAAATTTAAGAAGGGAGGGAGTATAAATGTGCCAAAACATTCTTTGAATAAATCATATCTAAGTTTGCTCAATTCAAATCCAAAATTTCATTACATTGTTCGTCGGTGTTCGTTGTCGCCACTCATCACCTCACTATTTATGTTCAAAATCGTTGATTCTTACAATAATTTTGTTTTATTTTAAAATCGTCAAAGGACCATAATATAATCGTGCACGCAACACCAACAATAAACCGTGCAATTTAAATACAATTAATTTAGTACTCCGATCCGTACTACTTGCTACTCCTTTCGTCCCATTGTCAATTTGACTTTTTTTAGTTAAATTATACAAAATTTAAATAATAATTACGCTCAATTTGTATTACATAATAATACAATAAAAATAAACTTTTGAAAGCTCTAAACAAGTTAAATATATTAAAATCATTTTTACATTAATATGCATTTTTTTTTAAATTTAATTACGGAGTAAGAATCAAATTTTATACCGTTTGATTCGAAAAAAATCAAAATGTAAGAATACTTTGAGGGCAGTACATTGCATTTCTAGCAATTAGTTGTTGAGTGTTGAAATGAAACCATCTTTACTTTGACTAAAACAACTAGTTCCGGTCAGTTTTTCTGCACAGTTTTAATTTAATTAAATGGATAAGTTTTGAAGGGATAATTTGTTGCATGCTTGGATTGAATGCTAGCTAGCCATGACCAAATGTTTGGTACAACCTAAAATTAGCGGTGAATTAATGAATCGAGAATCCGTCCATTTGATAATAATTGAGTTAATATATGATGTCTTCTCTGAGACGACTTTTCGCCACAATTGGTCAAATGAAAAGACTTCGTTGACATTATAATATAATCAACTTGTTGATTAATTCCACTTGCTGGTTCAATTCAGAATTATTGCATAAACATGTTTTGTTCTTTTGCTGCTTTATATCCTTTCAATTCTTTTGCATTTTCAATTCGTTAATTGTTTGGGCGGCGGCATTACACCTCATTCCCATTCATATAAGGCTTTTCTATGGTACTCGAGCATATCAATTGAGCTGTAAACAAAGAATATATTTAGTGAATCCGTATATGACCGAATCTAAAATGACCCGTTAAAATAGTTTGACAGTAGTTGTAGCTCTGTTATTGGTAGCATTGTGCCTGATGGCGGTACCAGTTCCCCCACCACTGCGTGGCCGGTTTCGGTACCAATTTAGAACCGGAACCGTGTCCAGATCTAATTCAAATTTCAAACCTGGGATCGTGTCCAGATCTAATTCAAATTTTACACTAACATGGGATACCCCATTTGTACACCAAGCCAACACAGACACAAAATGTCTGTGCTGCACAGACATTTTGTATCTCTGTTGGCTTGGTGTACAAATGGGGTAATCCATGTTGGTGTACCCCTAGCATTGCCTGATTTTTTATCATCCACCTTGTTAAGGAACCAACTCAACCAAAAGTTCAAGCTTGTGGTTGTGGCCCAGGAATGATTGTTATATATTCTAACACGCTCTCTCACGTGCAGGCTAGGCATGACCTCTTTGAGCCTTGCACGTGAGACCTTGATTTTTTTTAAACTGGGTAACGGTGAGTTTCGAACTCGTGACCTCTTGGTCATCAAGGCTCTGATACCATGTCAAGGAACCAACTCAACCAAAAGTTTAAACTTGTGGTTGTGACCCATAAATGATTGTTATATACTCTAACACCTACCAAAATGCACGACCTATTTAATTTTGTTCTATCACTTTTATGTAGAATCTAACCATCGACTTGGTAAAGAATTCGATGTAATGGATAAATAGTGTTAAGTAACCGATGCAATCATAAAAATAAAAACATTAATTATTTCTTATGTCCAGAATGGTAAAATTCTCTAGTAAAGACTTACAAGCTAACTTAATTAAATGGATAATTAATTAGTTGCATGCTTGGATTGAAAGCTGCCATTACCAAATGTTACTCCGTATGTACAACTTAAACCTAAAGGTAATTAATGAATGGATAATCCGTCCACTGATTTAAACGGAGTTAGTAATAAATTACTCCGTAATAATTGAGTTATACATAATTCTTCTCGGAGATGACTTTTCGCCTCATTTGATTTTGTCCAAAATATTTGTCCACTTTAACTTTTTACTATAAATTATTTTTAATTTTTGACTTACAATAATTTAAATATATTATATATTAACTAAATAAAATAATATTTTGAAAATATTTTATACAATAAATATAATAAAATTATTTTTGTATTAATATTGTATGTCATTTTTATTTAATTTTCGGTCAAAAATTTCAAATTTTGTTCGAAAAAAGTTAAATGTACACAAACACTCAGGTACCACATGGAGTATTCATTAATTCTTCATTCAGTATTAAACTGTTAATTAACTTTTTGATTTTTTAAAACACTAATAACTCTATTATAATGTAGTATCTGTTCATACATTCTCAGCTTATTAAAACTCGATGAGTTACTACCCGCACTGGAGATTGAACATGTAACCTCTCATTTGTTAATTAATTCCACTAGTTCAGAATTGTTCCATCAACATGTTCTTTTTATGCTGCTTTACTTCTTTTGCATTTTGGTTACTTTGGGCGGCGGCATTACACCCAAATCCCAAAACTCTACTCCCTCCGTCCCTAAATATTTACCATACTTAGATTTTCGAGGCAAAATATCAAGTTTTTTTCAATTCATTTTACTTTGTATATTGGTATAGAAATTAAAAATAAAATTTACATATCAAAAAACCACATGAAAAGTTTTTCGAAATAAGAAGTATCAAGAATATTTTATTTTATCAAATAATCAATGAAAACGTAGAAAAAACAAAAGTTCTCGCGACTGCTGAAAAAGCAAACGTTGTAAATAATTTGGGACGGAGGGAGTAATAGGGATTTTCTATTGTACTCCGAGTATAGACTTTGATAAAATTTGATTTAGACTTGTTCTTAAACCGAAACCCGGCCGGCCACAGAATATTAGGTTTTGAACATGGATAATTGTGTTTACTCAACCCGTTTTAACCCACAAAAAATCTAAAGAGTAAGTCTAAAATGACTTAATGGCGTCATTTACATACCCCGGTTCGTTTGAGTATCTACAATGTCCTATTTGAAAAAAATGACGGTTCCTAGCTACTCCCCTCACTCTCCTTCTAAACCCCATGTCCCCACCCCACCCCAACCCTCAATCCTTGCCCCCCATCCTGCCCCTGGCAGTATACTGCTAGGGTAGGGGTAAGGCTGGGCTAGGGAGTTTAGGGGGAGGGTCAGGGGGTAGGAATCGTCATTTTCACTAATAAGGCATCGTAGATATCTTAAATGAACTGGGGTAAGTAACTGGTGTATAAGTAACTAGTATGATTTTAGACGCTCTCAAATCTAAAATAGGTTAAACACAATCGTACTCGAGCCTGACTTGTTAAAATAAGAATTTTTTCTAAAAAAAAGTATATATGTACAGAGTACATGCTTTAGTACTCCGTATAATATGATAAATTATTACTCCATCCGTCCATTTAATTCTTTCTCCTTTCTTTTTTTCATCCGTCCCAAAAAACACTTCTTATTTTTATTAAAAAGTCAATTTTATCCCTTACTTTTTCATACCCTACATATCACATCATACATTTTTACTAATAATCTACCCATCAAATCCTATTTTTACCCATCACATCAAAGGACATTTTTGGAAATTGAATACCAAAATACACTCCTCTTAAATCTCTTCAAAATCAAAACATCTCATGTTTAAAGGAGCGGAGAGACTACTATTTTTTCTCATTATTGTTAGTGTATAAATTTATTTTTTCAAACGAATTTTTAATAATATCATGTTATTGTATTATATATAAAGTTTCAAAAGAGTCTTTAAGATTTATACATATTTAAATTTTTTATACTCGGTATTATTTATAACAATGCGTACTCCTTGCGTTTCTAAAATTCTTTACTCTCAATTTCATCTATCCCCAAAAAACCATCACGCTTTCTATTAGAAAATTATTTTTATCCTATTGAATTGATTTTTACACCACTTATCACATCATATATGTTCACTAGAAAATTTGTTATTGAAATTTATTTAGAAAAGAATAATAGCCCGTACCCTATGTATTATATTATAAAAATATTTGCATTAAATAGCACTAAAACCTAAGTCATTTCCTTTTAAATAATACTTAAACTGTTTTATTCCCTAAATAACACTTAATAATGTCAAATGATAACAAATATTTACTTGATTAATGACTAATGCATAATGACTAAAAGTGCTACATTGGAAAAACAGAAAAAGTAATTACGGAGTATATTTTAGTGGTATTTAAATAAATTCTTCTATATTATATGCATGGGTTTCTTTACCGTATGAAAGCAAATTAATGCGTGATATGTTTGAAAACAATAAGAAAGCGAGTGACTATGAAAGTTTGTTGACTTTGTTCTCGTCAAAGAAATACTCGTACGACGTACTACACAGGTCGTATATAATTGACTGAAAATAAAGAAATAAAAATAGAATTATTTGAATTAAATAGTACTAAAACTTAAGTCATTTTTCCGAAATATCACTTAAATTGTTTTATTCTCTAAATAGCACTTAATAATGTCCATAATGTCTAGTGATGACAAAAATTTACTTGAATAACGACTAATGCATAATGACTAAAAGTGCTATATTGGGAAGAAAAACACACGTAGTGCTATTTACGGAAAGTCATTATGTTTTAGTGCTATTTAAGCAAAATAGAACTTAATTTTTTTCATGATTTATTTCGATAATTTAAGAAGGAAAATAAAATAAAAATCAAAGAAAGAGTTTTTATGGGTGAGTTTACAATTAAGTTCAACCACCCCACTATGAACGCACTCCTATATATGTTTATAAAAGGAATCACACATAGTACATGGATCTCAACTAGCTAGCCAAACACCACTTAGTACCATATTCATCCAAAAACAAATAAAAATGACAAATCTCCAAAATGTCATATTCCCTACATGTTCTTTGTTCCTAGCGTTTTCTTCCCTTCTCGCGGCGGTTTCCGGCGGCTATTCCCACGAATGGTGGTGTAGCCAAACCCCGTACCCCCAATCATGCCAGTACTACCTTAGAGACTGCCCACCTATCAGGGACAGATCCGACTTCCTCAAGGTCACCATGAAAATGGCTCTCGAAAACGCCCAGAGAGCCAAAGCCAACGCCTACTCGCTGGGCACGAAATGCCAGAACGAGCAGGAAAAAGTTGCGTTGACCGACTGTCTAGAACTGTACCAGAACTTGGTCGAGAGGATCAACGCAACAGCTGATCCTCAGACCAAGTGCACTGCCACTGATGCACAAACCTGGCTGAGCGGGGCCCTCACCGACTACGAGACGTGCTTGGCCGGGTTCGTGGACCTTGGCGTCACGGGCAACGTCATGCCCATGTTGGCAAGCAACTTTTCCAACTTGATTTGCAATAGTCTGGCAATTAACAAGGGGTACATCCCCAGAGACAATACTGCCCGTTCTCGCGAAGGGTTTCCTGTTTGGGTTAAGCCTGGAGACAGGAAACTCTTGCAGGAGTCGCCGCCAGCTTCCAATGCAAATGTCGTGGTGGCGCAGGACGGGTCGGGGAACTATAGGACGGTGGGTGAATCCGTGGCGGCGGCGGCAGGGAGGAGACCGGGAGGCGGGAGATTCGTGATCTACGTGAAGGCGGGAGTGTACAACGAAAACGTGGAAATCGGTACTAAGCTGAAGAACATAATGTTGGTTGGTGATGGAATTGGGAATACCATCATCACCGGAAGCAAAAGTGTTGGCGGCGGCACCACCACCTTCAGTTCAGCTACCGTCGGTAATTAAGCTAAATAAATCAACTCCACATATTTAGTTCACTTTTAATTTCAAGGCAATATTCACTAACCTTATTAGGAATCATAGCGAATCTAAATAATAAAATAAGACCCATTATTATTAAAGTGTATCAAATTTTATATGTTCCACAAAATCCTTCCTCTTTCGTTTTTTTATTTTCACAAAACACTTCTACTTTCTATTAAAAAACCTCTTTTATCCCTACTTTTTCATACTCTACCTATCACATCATACTTTTTCACTAATAACCAAACTATCACATCATACATTTTTCCATCACATCAGGGGCAAAATTGGAAAGTCAACCAAAATTTTACTTTTCTTATTTTTCCCAAAGTCAAAACCGGAAGGATTTTGTGGAACGGAGGGAGTAAAATAATGATGACGTCTATTTATTTGTTATGAAATTTGTACTAAATAAGACTAAAACATAAGTCATTTCCTAATATAGGGTTTAAAACTTTTTTATTCTCTAAATAGGATTTAATAATGTCTATTGAGAAAAATAATATCTAGTAATGATGAACATATGGTTGAATAATGACTAATTAATAATGACCAAAAGTACTACATTGGGAAACAAAAACGTATGGTCATATATCTAGGTAAATTTCTCATTTGTTTTTAGGTGTGGATGGAGACGGGTTTATTGCTCAAGGCATAACCTTCAGAAACACGGCCGGAGCGGCAAACCACCAGGCGGTGGCGATGCGGTCGGGCTCAGATCTATCGGTGTTCTACCGGTGCAGCTTTGAAGGATATCAAGACACCCTATACGCCTACTCCAACCGGCAATTCTACCGAGAATGTGAAATTTACGGGACGGTGGACTTCATCTTCGGCAACGCCGCGGTCGTGTTCCAGAACTGCAACATCTACGCCCGTAACTCGCCCAGCAAGACCAACACCATCACCGCCCAGGGCCGGACCGACCCGAACCAGAACACCGGGATATCCATCCACGACTCCATAATCACTGCAGCGTCCGACCTGACGGGTTCTCTGGGATCCGTCAGGACCTACCTCGGGCGCCCGTGGAAGCAATACTCCCGGACGGTTATCATGAAGACGTCCATGGACGGCTTGATCGATCCGGCCGGGTGGTTGCCGTGGGACGGGGCGTTCGCTCTGAGCACTCTATACTACGGCGAGTTTGCGAACACTGGGCCGGGAGCGTCGACCGCCGGGAGGGTCAATTGGGGAGGGTACCATGTGATCACTAGCGCGGCGGAGGCTTCGCAGTTCACGGTGGGGAATTTCATCGCCGGTGGGTCGTGGTTGCCGTCCACGAACGTGCCACTCACGTCAGCCCTATGAAGGTAGGCGTGCATGCATGGAATTATCATGCACGTACGTGATGATTTGGAAATGAAGCATATTACATATACATAGTATTGTGTAATTTGTGATACTTAAATTTATGTGTACATTGTTTATTTTTAATTATAGCGACACATTGTCAACGATTATCGATTCTTTGTAAAATATACTCCGTATATTGTTGATGTTAAATAACAAATCCTCCGAGTAATAAATTGATCGAATACGTTTCGAGTATTTCATAATTGAGTTTCAACATTTTAAATTTGAAATTTTTGGCTAAAAATTTGATTATCGCCCAAGATAATGATTGAGGTATGACTTTAATGTTTTTCCCCTAAATTTGTCCCAGTAATCTTTTTAATTCAGTTTGCATAATTTTTAAATGAACACTAATAGTACCATTGAAAAGATCTACGGATTATATATCTCTTCATAAAGTAGTTAGTGGTGTGTTATACTTTAATTACTTCGTATTGTTAGAATACACAAAAAATCATTCATGGACGACAAACACGAGTTTGAGCTCTTTGTTGAATTGATTCTCTGACATAGTATGTTAAAGGAAAAAGAATATTTGGTAGAATATTTGGAGATATTTGTGTATATATTGTTTTGGTAGTTTTCCTTGTATAGGGATTCTTTCCTTTTACTTTTCCTTTACTTATTAGGAGTCTCAATTTGTGAGATCCTATATATATGTCCTCATTGTAAATTGTAAACACAAGAGAGAAATACAAGAGAAATTTCTCCCATACAATTCTTTCATGGTATCAGAGCCAGAACCCTAGAGGATTTCCGCGGCTACTGTGCACGATCGCCCGACATCGCGTCCAGCGGTCGTCACTTAGTGGTGTTGCCGAAATACCGGAACGGTCGACCGTCGGAGAGGAACGGTCGAAGGAGTCGACCGTCCCGATGGCAGATTCTTCAGTTGCTGCAGCTGTTCGATCCATTATTAGCCCATGTCATCTCGTATGTTTGAAGAGGCATCCATGAAGATTACTCTCAACAAGAATGAGGAAGAAGAGAAAGATGGATATTCGCCGTTGCCCAATTTCGAGGATCTCACTATGGAACAGTGGAACGCTGTTCGTCACGCCCTTGCACTATCCCCTATAGACATCAATCAGAAACTTACAGGTATTTCTGTGTCACCACGTTGGATTATTGATACGGGAGCATCAAATCATATGACGGGTGATTTTTCGTTATTGTATGATGTGGTGGGTGTGACTCCATGTGAAATTGGGTTACCCGATGGAAAACGGGTAGTGTCTGTTCAATCTGGAAAAGTTGATTTGACAAGGACTTTGACTTTACAGAGTGTGTTGTTTGTTCCAAATTTGAAGTGCCATTTGATCTCTGTCTCACAGCTGACAAGGGATTTGAACTGTGAGGCAAAGTTCACCAATGATGTGTGCATATTACAGGACAAAAATTTGAGGACAACGATTAGTGTAGGGAGACATGAAGGAGGATTGTACTATTTAAAGAAGGATGAAAGAAGTATGGCGTGCAGTGCTAAGAAGGTGAATTCCTTTGACCATTGGCACAAGCGTCTAGAACATCCCTCTTTGCATGTTTTGTTCTTAGTTCCCGGAGTTGGTCCGAATAAAAGTAGTCATAGTCATTGTGATGTTTGTTTACGTGCTAGTTTTCCCATCAGTTTCCATCAATCTTTGGATGTATTTGATATGGTGCATTGTGATTTATGGGGTCCTTATCGGACGCCGAGTTTGAATGGTTCTACCATGTTTTTAAGTATTGTGGATGACTTTTGTCGCGGCGTGTGGGTACATTTGCTTGATTCTAAGCGGACAGTAGGAAGCGATTTTAAACAATTTTGTGCCATGGTTGAACGTTAGTTTGGGAATAAAATAAAATGTGTTCGCAGTGACAATGGCACAGAATTCAAATACTTGAATGAATATTTTCTAGAACAAGGAATTATTCATGAGACATCTTGTGTGTCTACACCGCAGCAGAATGGAAGAGTAGAATGTAAACATCGTCATATTCTGAACGTGGGTCGAGCTCTAAGATTTCAGGCAGGGCTTCCTATTGAATTTTGGGGAGATTGTATACAAACTGCGGCGTATTTTATCAATAGAACACCCTCTTCTTTGCTAGGGGGGTTACACCGTATGAGAAGCTTTATAGAATGGTCCCTACGAGGACTCACATACGTGTTTTCGGTTGCAGATGTAATGTACATAATTTGAAAAGAGATGGAGATAAATTTACACCCAGAAGTATTCCTGGAATATTTTTGGGATACCCACAAGGAAAGAAGGGCTGGCGGGTGTATTTCCCGGACACTGGGAAGATCAGTGTGTCACGGGATGTTGTGTTTTGTGAAAACATTTTTCCTTATTGGATTTCCGCAGGTGAAATCCCAGATGAGAGTGGATCGAATAGTTCCTCTTCGATCGATTACTTCGAAGATGATGAAGAGATGCCGGCGGAAGATCAGCTGGACCGTTCCACGAGGAACGGTCGACCGGAGGAGACCAGTGAGGCAGGCGAGCTACAGGCGGTCGACATGGTGAACCGTCCTGATGTCCACGGTCGACCGTCCGAGAGGCAGAAAGACGAACCTCTGGGAGTGCAACCAACGGTCGACGTGGTGGACCGTTCTGATGACCACGGTCGATCGTCTGAAGGGTAGAAAGATAGGCTCCAGAGGGATGATGAAACGGTCGACCGTGAAGAGGAGAACGGTCGACCGTCTCTGAGGCAGAAAGAAGACGCTCAGGAATCCTTTCAGGCGGTCGACCCCGTGGACCGTTCCACGGATGGCGGTCGACCGTCCTCTCCCCAGAAAGCAGCAGAGACCTTGGGACGTGGTCAACGGGAAAGGCACCCAAATGTGAGGCTTGCGGATTATGTTACGCATGTTGCTGGTCCACATATCGGAGAAAAGTGCAGATATCCACTCTCTTCATATGTCACTTATGAGAAGTTCTCTCACAAACATAAGTGTTTCCTCACAGCGCTTGATGAAGAAATAGAGCCTAGAAACTTCAAACAGGCATTCCAGGATGAGCGATGGAGGAAGGCCATGCGAGAAGAAATTGATGCGTTGGAAGCTAATGGCACGTGGTCCCTTGTTCATCCCCCACGTCATAAGAAGGCTCTTGGATGCAAGTGGGTGTATAAATCAAGCGCAAGTCTGATGGCAGTGTAGAAAGATACAAGGCTCGGTTTGTTATACTTGGTAATCACCAAGTTGAAGGTATTGACTACAAAGAAACCTTTGCTCCTGTAGTCAAGTTGACCACTGTGCGAACTCTTTTAGCAGTCGCAGCGGTTAAGGGATGAGAATTGCATCAGATGGATGTTCACAATGCATTCCTGCATGGAGATCTTCAGGATGAGGTGTATATGAGGTTGCCGCCCGGTTTCTCGAGTTCGTATAATATGGTGTGCAAACTCAAGAAGTCTCTGTATGGATTGAAACAGGCTCCAAGATGTTGGTTTGCAAAATTGTCTGGCGCATTGAGACGATATGGATTTGTGCAATCTATCTCTGATTACTCTTTATTTTTTTTTGTTGGAAAGAAAGGAGTAATACATGTTTTAGTTTATGTTGACGATTTGATTATTGCTGGAGATAATACAGAGATGGTGAGCAAGTTCAAAGCCTATCTCGGAGATTGTTTTCATATGAAGGACTTGGGAACACTAAAATATTTTCTTGGCATTGAGGTTGCGAGGAGCACGTCTGGGATTTTTTTCTGCCAACGAAAGTACGCCTTAGATATCATCACTAAGGCGGGGTTGTTAGGTGCCAGGCCGTTGGGTGCCCCGATGGAGCCAAATCATCACTTGGCTCGTTCCCAAGCCCCGGTTCTTGCAGATCCAGAACCATATCGAAGGTTGGTAGGAATGTTGGTCTATCTCTCCGTTACACGACCGGAACTTTCTTACGTCGTCCACGCTTTAGCACAGTTTTTGAAGGAACCAAGGGAGGATCAGTGGTCTGCGGCCCTTAGAGTTGTTCGTTATTTGAAAGGATGTCCGGGTCAGGGCATTTTTCTGTCAGCAGAGAGTAGTCTTCAACTCACAGGATGGTGTGATTCGGATTGGGCAGCATGTCCTTTGACGAGGCAGTCATTGACAGGGTGGTTTGTGCAGCTTGGAGACTCGCCTGTCTCATGGAAAACAAAGAAGCAGTTGACGGTGGCTCGCTCGTCTGCTGAAGCAGAGTATAGAGCTTTGGCTGTCCTTACATGTGAGTTGAAGTGGTTGAAGAATGTATTGCGGTGTTTAGGGGTTGAGCATAAGAACCCCATGACGGTCCGGTGTGACAGCACGGCAGCACTTCACATTGCTGCTAATCCGGTTTTCCACGAACGCACGAAGCACATTGAGATTGATTGTCACTTCGTTCGTGATGAGCTCTTGCGAGGANGACGGTGGCTCGCTCGTCTGCTGAAGCAGAGTATAGAGCTTTGGCTGTCCTTACATGTGAGTTGAAGTGGTTGAAGAATGTATTGCGGTGTTTAGGGGTTGAGCATAAGAACCCCATGACGGTCCGGTGTGACAGCACGGCAGCACTTCACATTGCTGCTAATCCGGTTTTCCACGAACGCACGAAGCACATTGAGATTGATTGTCACTTCGTTCGTGATGAGCTTTTGCGAGGAGAGATTCGTACACTTCATGTGCCTACTACGCATTAGCTTGCAGACATTCATACCAAGGCACTCAGAAAGTCACGTTTGGAGTTTCTTCTTCCCAAGTTGGGCATTTCATTACTACATGCTCCAACTTGAGGGGGGGTGTTAAAAGAAAGAGAATATTTGGTAGAGTATTTGGAGATATTTGTGTATATATTGTTTTGGTAGTTTTCCTTGTATAGGGATTCTTTCCTTTTCCTTTTCCTTTACTTATTAGGAGTCTCAATTTGTGAGATCCTATATATATGTCCTCATTGTAAATTGTAAACACAAGAGAGAAATACAAGAGAAATTTCTCCCATACAATTCTTTCATAGTATCAGAGCCTTCTACATTAAGAGATCACGTATTTGAAAGTTATCACCACACAGTTTTAAAAAAATTAACGTTTCACGTGCAAGGCTCAAAGAGTCAAGCCCGCACGTGAGGAGGCGATGCTAATAGAGTATTTAAAAATTATTCATAGGCCACAACTATAAGATTTAACTTTTGGTTGAATTGGTTACTTGGCACCATGTTGGAATTTCGGTGGGTGGAGTCAACTTAGTCGAGTATTATTGGTAAGATTAGATTACTTACCCATATGAAGTTCAGATGGAATTTCTATCTAAAAGCTTAAGCTAATGGATAGTGTTTCACCTTCATTTATATGTGGTGTTATTTGTTTGATTTCTGGTATGGGATAAACACAACACACGGTTCTTGACACTTTGCTCAAGTGGTAGCTAGCATGGTCGCATATTGAACCCGAGCATTGTGTTTGTTTAGTCGGATACTCCGTATAGTTATTCAAATTTTGTGAAAAAAGGCTATCTTTTATACGTTAATAAAATTCCTTCAATTTTTGAAATAAAAAATGTCTTCCCTTTCAATTAAAAATAACAACCCATATTTCTTTTTACGCTATGGAAAACTTATGATACTTAACGGCTTACAAAGCCTACACCCTCTTTGGTCTATACTGATAGATTGCATTTTTTTTCAAAGGTCGAAGAAGCATTTTTGGTGCCGGTTTTGCATTTTTTTTCCTGTTTTGAATTTTTTTAGTCAAATATAGATATTCTTTGACCATAAATTAAATATAATTCAAATAAATAAGTGTTATAAAAATTTGATATATCGAAACTATATTCTAAGGTAAACCTAATTATATTAAATTTATATTATAGTATAATATATTTTTCTTGCAATTTGTAGCAAATGAGTGTCACTCTTTGATCGGAAAAAATCAAAATAAGTTGATGAGAAAAAATCAAAACAAGAAAAATTTTAAGTACAGGGTGGGAACAGTACGCATCCTATTTAGGGTCAAGCAATGAAAGTTGACTAAGAATGGTCCAATTCAACACAGTACCAAGTCCAGACCAAGTTTGTATTTAAAAAAAAGAAAAGAAAAAAGGGATTTTCTCCGGTGCCCTATGAAACGGGTATCCATGCCCCTCCTCTCAATGGATGCCATGTGGATTGATAAACAAGAGTCATAATAAATTTTTCCACATCATTGTAACTTTCACAAATTGCAAAAGACCCGCTCTTTTTGCTTCCTTTAAACTCATCCCACCGTGTAATCACTCATAGTTTACGGAGTAATAATTTTTCGATATGTTCTCTCCTTGAGCCCAGAACGCCGGCTGCAATCATAGACAAAAGCGTCGATTGTTTTCTTCCTCTTCGTCAACCACAAAGGTAATAGATCTTAGAGTTGGAAATTGAATTATTGCAGAAATAAAGACCAACAAATAGAGAGGAAACTGTTACCTTTGAGAGTTGGTAAGAAGAAATCGATACGGCTGCCGACGATCGCAGGAGACGCTTCTTCTCTGATCTACGATGCACGGTGACGGAAGGACATAGTTGAGCACTAGATCGTCTGACTTGGGAAATAGAAGAACGAAAAAGAAAAAAAAAACTAACGAAAGTGATAAACGGAAAAGGAAGAAAATGGCGGAAGGGCTGATGGTGAGTTTAACGTAAGGGGTGGGGGCATTTGTAATTTCAGAAAAATAAAATGAGGTGGACAGTTTTACTTAATTATCATGACAGGAGGGGCATGGATGCCCTCTCGTTTCACGGGGCACCGAAGAAATTCCCAAGAAAAAAATTCATCAAGAATCTTGTCCAATATTCATTTGTACACTGGACTTGATTAGTCTTACTTCGATATTGGACTGAGATACGAGATCAGGCCCAATACTATTATGTCCTATTAGATCCTATGATTAAACTTGACGGAAAAAAAAACATACGGAGTATAAGAAAACCCCCTAAATAGGAGTAAAACATATTCCCTCCATTCTCAAAAACACTTTCTTTTTCATTTTTTCCACTTCCAACAAAACACTTCCCCTTTCTATTAAAAAAACTACTTTTACCCTTACTTTTTCATACCCTACCTATCACATCATACTTTTTCTCTAATAATCTATCCATCACATCTTACTTTTACTCATCACATCAGGGGCAAAATTGGAAATCAACTATAATTTAACACTTCCTTATTTTTGCCCCAAGTCAAATGGGAAGGGTTTTTCCAAACGGATGGAGTATATTATATACTCAAAATAAGAGTTCAAACTTAAACTCTTTTAAATAAGAGTAATTAATTAAATTTTGTTTTGATTTACTCTTCCAACTAACCACACCACATCCTAGCCCTATGCGGTCGAAAAAAGTCACCCGGCCCCTTCAATTCCCAATCTCATCCTTCTACGATATCCTTCGTTTTAATCTCAGTTGCTGACGTTGTCAACTTAATCTCAATCACCTCTCCGCCGCTACCATCTTCTTTATATGCGGTAATGATTCCACCGCACTCTTCATCATCTCCTTTTCTCTCATACACACAATCTCCTTCCACCCCTTTCCATCATTTCTATTTTTCATCGCTTGGATGCCTCCGTCCCCTTGGGTAAGTTTCAAATCAATTTGATATTTAATTTGACATAAGTAGTTAAATTCAATTTTAAATCTAAAAATTTACTTTTTCGGGAATTATTTTGTAAAATTGGTACTAATTCTTTTATCCTTGCGTGAGTTTGAAACTTTTAATCAATTTTATATTCAATTTCACATAGGTTGTGACATTTGATTTTAAATCTAATTTTACTTCTTAGAAAATTATTTTGTAAAACAAATATTGAAACTAAATGATTATTGTGTTGGCAAATAGAATTTCTTGATGTTTAACTTTTTTGAGATTATGCATTAACATTTGTGTTATATGTAAAATTATACATTGGCATATCTGTCATTATACATTGCCAAATTTGGCACTATATATTATCATATTTGGCATTATCTCTTGGTTTAGCATTATGCATTTGCATGTATGACTTTATACAATGACATGATTGTCATTATGCGGTTACGTGTGGCGTTAAATGTAGTCTTGTTTGACACTGTATAGACATTTTACTGTAATAATTTACAGAGTTTCTATTTATTGCTTAAGAATTTTGACATATATTTACAAGGTAAATATCAAGTCTCATAGATTTATTGATTAAGAATTTTGGAATTAAGTGTGGTCTTGTTTAACACTCTATGGGCATGAGGCAACACTTAAAGGTCATGTTTATCAAGTTTTTTTTCTATTCCTAAGAATGTCAAATCATCACATCAGAATATTTGAGTTGTGAATTAGGATACACATATAAATATATAGGAGCAAGGTAGGAATAGTCGTATTTGTCTATGGTACTGGGCTTTGGGTGTGATTTTGTTGTCGTCCCTTGACGATGTAGTTAAAAGAATCATTTATTGACAATATTTTAACGTTGAGTAAAAAAATTAGTCGGCTTAGTAGTTAGCTGTTATTTTGATAAAAAATAAATATAATGTCATATTTTATTTTCTGACTTGAAAATATAAACTATTTGTAAAGTCAATCTTTTAATTCAAAGAATAGGTAATTGGATTTCTCTTGTAAAAAGGTGACTAATAGCATAAAGTTTGTTAAGTTTAGACTTTGGTATAAAAAGTTATGAGCAAAAATAGATGTTATAATTCAATAAATAAATATAAAGATTGTATAATATAATAATAATAATAATAAATAATCAATTTCCTAATCTATTCTAATTCCTACCCATAACTCAATGCCAATGCCCAGTCCCCCTTAAGTGTGTAAATACACACGCATGCAAGAAAAGAAAAAAAACAAAGCAAGGGAGAAGAGAGCGTGAGAAGAGAGAATTAAGGATAAAAATTTATTAATTACTCCTATTTATAGGAGTTTATGTTTTAGCTCCTATTTGAGAATATATAACATAACTTTTGTTCCTAGTTTGGTCCTTCTCCCAAAACATATTCGGATACACCCTTCATCTCAAATTTAAATTATGGATTTTTTTTACAACCAAATTTGGACATGTTATTTTTGTTCTAATAATCACTCGAGTGTAAAGTCGAAAACTTAAAATGGATACTAATATTATTCCAATGGCCAATACTCGTGTCAATACTCGCTCCCCCCACCCACACAATGCCCCTTGGACTTCAGGTTAATGCCTCTCTCAGAGCTTTCGGGTGAGATGCATGTCAATGATGTATACTCATAACACATTTTACACATTTTAGTATTTTACCTTGAAAAAGAATTGAGATGAAGAAAGTTTAATATACCTCTAATTTAAGTATTTTACCTCTAATTTTGTAGTTTTGAAAGATGTAATTTATACTTTTATTTCTATTTGTAAATAAAATCATTTCAAAAGAGATAAAATTTTACGTATTATTTGAAACATGCAGATAGATCATAAATGTATTATCATCATTATTATTGTACTCCGTAATTCAAGTTATATTAGGTGAGCAGAATTATAAGCTCCTTCGAAGTTTTTTTAGAGTCCGTTTGGTATACGGAATTGTTGGGCGGTGCTCCTTGGACCACACGGCAAGAAGGAGAGCAAATCCCATTCTAAGTGGGATTGCTCTTGATTTGTTTCCTTGTTCATATTTAGTGATTTGTTTCCTTGTAGGAATAGAATTCCTTTTGTGTTTTGGTCTTTATCCTCTCCTATAAATAAAGGAGAAACTCCTTGTACTTAGCAGAACAATTCAATATACAAAATATTTTTCCTCTTATTAATTTCTACATGGTATCAGAGCAAGTTTTGAATTCTTGAGACCTCAAACACGCTTCTTCCCCTGCCGGTGGGCATACAAAATTCAATGCCTACCGGCGGGATATTGTAATTTTTGATTTTCTTTGATTGTTCTCCCTCACTAAAGAATATCATGAACTCTTTCAACGAAAAACATTGCTGTCGAGGAATCCCGCCCAACCNTGGCGTTCCTTTACTCGACTAATTATTCGGCGGATTCGAAAAGCTTAGCGTCTCCGTTGAAGAAAAAAACTGAAGTGTCTAGATGACACTTGGACAACGATGGCAGCGGCTTCCTCAAGCTTTGTTGCTTTGTTCAATCTTTTGATGTCCAAGCTAGGCATGTTGAACTCCCATGCTCCAGCTTGAGGGGGGGTGTTGGCGACAGAAGAAGGAAGCCAGATCAAAGAGGGAAACTGAATCCCTTTGGGATTCGGTTTAATATCTTTCCTAGTTTGCTTAGTTCTTGTTATAGTAGGAATAGAAATATGGTAGGAATAAAAGTTACTTAAATGCTTTACTCTCTTCCTATATAAAGGGGGTTAGACCTTTGTAAGCACAAGCCAGTTCAATATACAGAATATTTTCTCTCTTATCAATTTCTACAGGAATTGATGGAATTGGAATTAAAATTCCATGCGATTCAATTCCATAAAATTGAATTCACCAATTCCAATTCATTTTTTGCACTCTCAATTCCAAATCCGCATAATTTTTGTGCTATCAAACATCAGAATTGGAATTGAAGTCCTCAATTCTAATTTCATAATTTGAATCATTTTTTCAAAAAAAAAAAGAGAAAAGAAATATGTAATAATTTCTTAATCATGTTTCAAACCAACTATGGACATGTTATTTGTGTCTTAACTATCACGAGATTATAAAGACTAGAACTTCAAGTAGATACTGTTATTCCAATACTGATTACTCATGTGAATAAGGATCATTCTTTATTTTCACAATAATATAACACTCGCAACACGTCAATACCATTTACCTATAAAAAGAATTGGGATGTAAAAAGAATATTAAAGAAGAAATATATACAGAGTAATTAAGATTTAAAATGTTTTATATATCAAAATATGGTTTTAAATATTACAAAAAAAGATGGTTTATATCCCCTAATTCTTCTTTAAAAAAATAGTAGATATTTAGTTTGAACGATATCCAGTGACATTAAACATTTACTTGAATGATGACCAATTGACATTAAACAATGATACTACATTAGAAAATCATACATGGACGGAGGGAGTAAAAAACATATCATAATATATTGAAAAAGTCACTATATTTTAATATTTGTTCAGATAAATTCCCTCGTACTTGATGATAAAACATTAAAGTTTTTACATTGATAATAGTACGAATTTTCTGTTTCAGTCTTATTCAAATAAATTTCTATAACATTGTAAAAAGTACAAATAATTCAATCAAATCACAAGATAATTCAATCAAATAAATTTCTATAACATTGTAAATTAAACAAATTTAAATAGAAAAAGTGAATTTGTAAATTTATTCCTACCCCAAGATGAATTACTCACAAATCACAAAATGCATTCCTATTAATTAATTAATTAATTACCAAGTACTCCGCAATTAATGGATTAATTATTGGGTCGTGTTGGTCATCCTACCCTCCATGATCCGGGTCCGAACCCGCTCGAACTCCGAGATCCGACAAGGTATAGTGATCCCGCCCGGATGACTGAACCCGAATTCCTCTTCCACGTCCCGGAGCAGCTCTCCGAACAGAGGGTGGTTGAAGCACATCACCGGAACCAAAACCCGCTCGAAGTCGTCCTCCCGCCGCCCAACGTACACCGCCAGGTGCCCTTTCGGCACCGCCGCCGGTCTCTGGCAAGACGGGCCGGAAAAGTACTGGGCCTTGGTGCAGATTGCTTTTGCTTTGGACTTCAAGTTCCGGGTCAGGCTTAAAATCGAGGGGATCAGCTTGACCCGGCATGTTGCCGGCGGATCCAGCCGCTGGTACAAACCCGGCGATCGGCGGCGGCGCCATCGATCGCATCGGAAAACCGCCGTTACCCTCTGCTTCACCGAAAATCCTCGGAGGTTTCGCATGCTTCCCCAAGTTTCATCTCACGAACTATTTTCAGCTGCCCTGTTTCTTAACTTCCCCACTGACTTTTATATACTCTTATACATTGTTACATTGTTTGGATAAAAAGAGAAAATGGGTTGAAAGAAAATGGAGGGAAGGAAAATAGAGAAGAAAGAAAATGAAGAGAAAATAGAAAGAAAATAAATGTTGTTTGGATAAGTAGAAAATAGAGAGCAAAGGTAAGAGGAAAGAAAATGTATTAAAATAAAAAGGCAACTTTACTCTTATTCTACATGGAAAGTGAACATAGTGGAGGGTAAAAATGTCATTTCCAAACTTTTCTCTCCCTTTGGCCAATTTTCTCACCCCTAGAGGGGAGAAAACTTTTCACCTCTCCCTTTCCATTCTCTCCCCATTTTCTCCGGCAAACAAACAGAAAAAAGTTTTTTGGGAATTGTGTTTTTTTTCCAAACATTTTCTTTCCCTCTAATTTCACTTCATCCAAATACAAGCTTAAGTTTTAAATCTAATTATAATTTTATTTCAAATAACGTGTAAAATTTTCTTTATAAAATACTTCGGGGCTGTTTGGCAACTTCTGAATAGTTAAGTGCTGAACGAGTAAGTGGTCTGAACCATTAAGTGCTGAACCAATAAGAGGTATGAACCATTAAGAACTAGTATATTACTTAACTATTCAGAGGCCAATGTCTAATCAATTCAGATAAGAGGTCTTAACCATTCAAACTTTGTATAATACTTAACCATTGAGAGGCAAATGGCTCAACCATTCAGACATCTGAACCATTAAGAGACTGAAACAAACAGTCTGAACCATTAAGTGCTCAACCATTCAGACATCTGAACCATTAAGAGGCTGAAACAAACAGACCCTTCCTCTGTATAAAAATAATTATTGCTTCTAACTATTATATAAAATTTAATTATACAACTATATTTTCTTTGGAAGTTACGTTTCATTTTATATGAGAAATTAATTTTGGAATGAAAAGAATATAAAATTTATGGCCATTTTTCTGTAGAAGAATGAGAAAATATAATATAGAAAACCAATCATTTTTTAGGCTAAAATCCATCATTGGTCCTTCAACTTTATCAGTTGTGCACGATTGGTCCTTCAAGTTTTAAAAGACCATAAATAGTCCTTCAAATTTATGAGTTATGCACGATTGGTCTTTCAAGTTTCAAAAGTCCATAAGTAGTCCTTCAGGTATACGTCAGTCCTCCAGATAAAGTCCTTTTGACAGTAAATATTAAAAGTCAAACGAAATACTAGTTTCATATAATGCGAGTAAATTCCACTAGGTATGACTACTCCGTATTATATGGAGCTAGTATTACATTTAGCTTTTAACATTTACTGTCAAAAGGATCTCATCTAGAGGACTGACGTGTACTTGAAGGACTACTTATGAATTTTGAAACTTGAAGGACCAATCGTGCATAACTCATAAAGTTGAAGGACTATTTATGGTTTTTAAAAACTTGAAGGACCAATCGTGCACAACTGATAAAGTTGAAGGACCAATGGTGGAGTTTAGCCTTTTTTTTAATAGTAAAAAAACCATTTGTTTGTAGAAATGAGAAGGAAATTCGAAAAAAAAACGAAAGAAAGTCTAAGTATTTTACTATTGCACCTATTCGTTTTTTTAATTAAATGTTTTAGATAGTAATTTTATAATGAACCCTATCAACATTATTTGATTACTCCGTAACCTAATTTGACTGATAATAATCGGGGGCGCTAGAAGATGGCCCCAAACCCAAATCAGCACCACGATATTTGATTACTTCTTTTGATTCTGTTTATAAATATGTAATTTTTATTTTTAAATTCAATAACATTTTTATATAAGTGATATGAAAAAGATTATTTAAACATTAAGCATGCAATTTAAATTAGGTCAAAGAGATTAATTTCTCATGTCACTGAGATGTTTAACTTTTTTTTCCTTCAAAAAAGGTTGTCTTTTTCCCTAAACTATCACTCCTATCACGGCCCGCAGATTACGGGAGAGCTGGAATTTGTGTTCTCTTTCTGCGGTTGGATTCAAATTCTTACAAAGATTTCTTCTTCTTCTTCTTACTCCGTATTTTTTAGTGTTTGGAGATTAAAAAAAAGAACAATGCTATCAAGTGAAAAGAAGCTAAGAAATCTACTTCTTCCATCCCAAAAAATGTCACAATTCATTATTCAAGAATTACGAAAACTTTTATTTATTTATATTTTTTGTTGTGATTTAATAAAATAAAATTGGATAAATTTCTAAAATGGTCATTTCGAATAAGATGTTTTCTCAGATTAATTCTCAATAAATAATAATTACCAACATAGTCCTTTGTAACTAAAAATACTCTCTAAATAGTAATCTATCAAAATGTATATAAAATGACAGTTAAATAAAGAATACATTTGTATTTTCCATCATCTAAATGATGAATAAGTCCTTAAATTTCTCTTTTCAAATTATGTGGGTAGCTGCTAGAGGAACGGACCCATCCTTATTAGCTCATGGACTCCATTCTGGAAAAATATTTACTTAGGAATTATCAGTTTGGAAAAGCACTTACTTAGAAAGGGGCATTTCAAAAACATATTTTAAATCTAGATGATAGAAAAATATAAAAATATCTTATATTTGACTGTCATTTAATAGACATTTTTTATAGAGAACTATTTAGGGAATGCGTCTCAATTATAAAAGATCACATTACCTGATTTGAGAAAACACCTTATTAAAAAAATCATTTTGGGAATTTATTCGATAAAATACTCTTATTAAATTTTATTTTGAAAAACTTTTGACTTATTTTTCAAATATGTAAATTTTATTTTTATTTTTATACCAATCTTTAAATAAATGAAATGAAAAATTTAAATTTTTAATTTTTTTCATAATGTGACAAATATTTTGGGACAGAAAGAGAAGAAAATACTTATAACTTCTTTTATTCTAAAAAACCTAGAATTTGGTTTTTGGCATTCATTTTTCTCGATCTTCTTTCAAATATTATATGGCGCTATAAGAGCAAAGGAAATACACGTTAAACTCCGCCCCCATAGGGCGTTACTCCGGCATCACACATTGGTGTCAGACAATTGACCCACTTCCCCCCTGCCCCCCCAACGGGTATATTAGTTGTTAACGTTTTTTAAAAAAAAATTAATTATTTTTTTTATGAATTTCAAACTCAGCCCTTCAATTTTTTTCACATTTCTCCTTTCTTCAATCTCCAATTCTCATCAATCTTCTTTACATTTTCAATTTTCAATTCTCCAATTCTCTAATTCTCTTTTTAACATGAATCCATCCGCATCCGGCTTTTCCCCTGACGATCTCGAGCCTAACGAGCACACCATGTGGATCTTCCAACAATACGGGAGTAATCCAGCGTTGTTCAAGACACAACCATCAGGGTACATCTATGAGCCAGAGTCGGTTTCGGACACTCAACCGGAACCATTCGGCACAAAAAATAGTGCATGCTGAAAAAGCCACAAAGCGAAAGGTACTAAAGTGAAGACCGAGGTGGCACGGTCAATCTAAAAGTGGACGCCGGAGGAAGAATGCTTTTTGGCGTTGGCTTGGGTTGACGTCTCTGAGTATCCTATCGTTGTTAAAAATTATATGTTTTCTAATATTTTTGTGTTCTTATTTATATATTCGTGTTATATATTTGTGTCAGCAGGACGAACGACACTGATGTTCTCCGGCTTGCCACGACCCGGTATCCAGACGACGGGCACCAAGGCAAGGTGCCCATCGATCTTTGGAGAATTTTAATCCGTTCACCGAAATGGCAACAACTCAACAATTTCGACGCCGGATCCTCAAATAAAAGATCCTCCATCGACGCCGAGGTTGAGGTCGATGACACTATCGGTTCGTCCGAACAAAGGCCTCCATTCAACATTGACGATTCTGATGATGAGGACTCCATTCAATGGCCGATCGGAAGAAAGAAGACAAAATCTATTGCCTTAGGTTCTGGAGGGTGCGACTCTGTTTCCGTTTCTTCTCACGACGATATCGGTCGGGCAATGGTTGAACAACTTTGGATGTTCAATATTCGAGAAGAATAGAGGGCGAGAAGAAAGTAAGAGAAGGAAGAGATCGAGATAATGCAAACCGGCCTTGATACGTTATCGGGCTTCAAGCATATGATTTCGAGAGAAGACAAAAAGAGATCAAAGATAAATATAATTTACCTTAGTTTTTTATTAATGTATTTGTTTTATTATTGTCGTTTTTTTTAAAAATGTAATGAATGTAATTTTTTAAAATTATTGTCGCTTTAATTTCTTTTAATTTAATGAATGTAGTTTTTTTAAAATTATTCTCGTTTCAATATAATTAAATAATTAAATAATTAAATAATTAGATTTTATTAATTTCATTTTAGAAGATGTTTATTTAAAAATATAAAAAATGAAAGTTTAAATCTCTGTTTGAAGCACTGAGGCTTCAAACCCATTTCCAGTAAATATGTGAGGTAAGTTAAAGCTGACATGACAGAAAGAGAAAATTTGAAACCTCGGAGCTTCATACGTATTTCCAGTACCCTAAACCTGTTTGGATTACGTGAAAAAAAAGAGAGGAAAGAAACAGATCAAATGAGAAAGTGACGAGAAAATAGAAAGAAAAGTATTGTTGTCTGGATAATGTGAAAATGATGCGAAAGTGATGAGAAAATTGAAACAAGAGAAAATGTATTGAGATATGCTTTTGCTTACATCCTATTTTCTTTTCCCTCTTTTTCTTATCATCTAAACAAAGGCTAAATTACTCCTTTCATCACATATTTATTATTTGATAAGACATTTTTTATTAAAAAGTGAATAAATATAGATATATTTTATGTCTATATTTTTTATGTTTTAATGTACCAAAAATATCTTATTAGATTGTAAATATAAAATAAAGAGAGTATTAAATCACCAAGGTTCCCATGACATTGGTTCCCAATGTCATGAGATGATCTGGTGGCGCTCTGGTGCCCCGTTTGTAAAATTGACGGTTCCTACCCCGTAACCCCCTCGATAAACCCCCCACCCTGCTCCGACCCGAACACACCCCTCACCTCCTTCAATTGCACCCCACAAGTTGATTTTGACTTTGGAGTCAAATTTTGACTCCAAAGTCAAAATTAGACCTGTGCAAATAAGGATCCAGGCCGGATCTAGGCCGGGCTTAATATAAATTATTAGCCCATTTACATGGGCGGGCCTGACCCGGCCCGTATATGATGGGCTAAATTCTTTACCCATACCCGCCCATCTTTGCGGGCCGGACTGCCCACCGGGTCGCCCGGCCTGGATAAAACATCAAGAAAATTTATTTTGTACAAAAAATTTTAAAAAAACATTGAACTCTTTTTTAATATTTAAAATAAAATAACTAGTCACCACATTTATATAGAAAGCATAATAGAGATATTGTTGCATAAGTAATAAACTCATCATACTAATTCATTAAAAGAGTATTGATTTTTGTTTAAAAGAGGTGAGTGAATTAAACTATTATACATGAATTATAGAAAATTTTAAATTTATATTGGCTAGGTAATTAATAATAAAGTAAATATATTTGATAAATATGGGCGGGCCTGTTGGCCGAGATGGGCTAAAAGTAACTTTTAGATCCGCCCATATACAATTCGGGCTTGTGCCGGCCCGTCCATTTGGGTATTAAAGATTGTTCATATCCGTCCTTTTTAAAGGGCGGGATGGGCAGGCTGAACGGGCCGACCCTTGTTTGCACAGGTCTAGTCAAAATCAATTTGTGAGGTGCAATTGAAGGGGGTGGGGGGTGTGTTTGGGTCGGGATGGGGTGGGAGGGTTTACGGAGGAGTTATGGGGATAGGAACCATCAATTTTACGAATGGGGCACCGAAGCACCTCTGAGTCATCCTATGACATTGGTTCCCAATGTCTTGAGAACCTTGCCTGTCTTAAATACCGGGGTACTCTTAATTACGGTATTACCTAATGACCCCGTCTTGCTCTACCTAGGGTCTTGCTTGACCAAGCTAGAGACATACGGAGTATCACATTTTCAATTAGTGACTTGATATTACAACTTCAATTATATCATCTCACAAATTTGAGCGAGACTCTAGCCTTCAACAATTTCACTTCACAAAGTGGTTTTAGGCCAAGACACCTTTTATTTTTTGTCAATTTAACATCCCATTATTTTTCAAAATTTTTTAACAATATATTCTCGCTATCCTAAAATATTCTTCCAAGTTACTACTTGATGGTGTAAATTACTTGACCGGTCGAACTATACTAGACCGGGTCTAGAATAGTTTGCTTGATTTGGCAAAGTAAGAAAGGTAAAAACTCGCAGATTGACCGGTAGGACTTTAGGTGGAACACCTGTAGCCCAGTTTGTATTATAACGGAGAATGCACGGGTGCTTTTACGAGGGAGTTTAGAGAGAATGAATTCGGATCCCTCTTCCTGAGGTTTACACGAGTATTTATACTAGGCTAAGAGGACAGGACCACGTGCGCCCACGTGGGGGCACGATGCTGATGTGGTGCGAGGTGACCGATTTCGTCCTTGAGCTGCCTTGTCGCCTTGTGAGGGGGATTATTCCCTTTGTCGAGTAGTGCCTTGGATGGATTCTTCAGCATCTCCAGTTGTCCTCTACTGACATGGGTCGCTACACGCCAAGCCCCCGTAGATTCTCTTCTGTCGACACTTTCCAACCCTAGAAACTACACCGGGTAATCTCCGAGAGATGAAATCATCGAAGTTAGGGAAAAATAGGGTGACAAAGTAGTTTGGCCGGTATACTTTTTCGTGAAGTATACCGGTCATCTTTTGCCGATTATATATCGCTTTGCTGACGATTTAAGTCTCCTTTCCAAAACATTCGAGATTGACCGGTCAACTAATTGGTCTTCTCCTTTGACCGGTTGTGGGTGGAATACACCCATCACTACTCACGCGATCAAATTCTTAGTTTCGTTAGTTATTTGATAAAATAATATAGAATTGTCACTTCTTATTTAGTACTCCCTCCATTCTATAAAAGTGTTCCTATTTTGACTTTGTGTAAAAATAAGGAAGTGTTAAATTGTAGTTGACTTACAATTTTGCCCTTGATGTGATGGGTAAAAGTAAGGTGTGATGGATTGAATATTAGAGAAAAAATATGATGTGATAGGTAGGGTATGAAAAAGTAAGGGTAAAAGTGGTTTTTTAATAGAAAGTGGAAGTGTTTTGTTGGAAGTAAAAAAATGAAAGAGGAAGAGTTTTTGAGAACGGAGGGAGTAGAACTTTTGATTTACTTTTTTGAATATATAAATTTCATTTTTTAATTTAAGACTGTAGTTACGGAATAGAGTAATTGGGTAATCAAAGTAAACAGAAAACGTAAAGACACAAAGATTTAACGTGGTTCACCAACGTTGTGTACTTGTGTTGACTACGTCCACAGGCAAGAACGGAAGCGGATTGTATTATGACAGTGGTTTCAAAATACACAGTTTTTGTGTCTTACCTCTATATAGATAGGCACATGAGATGGGTTGATCTAATACAATAATTACACCCCAAGGCATATTAACAGAGACACGGGGAGTAGTTTCAATTTTCAATAAAATAATACTCTAAAAACGTAAAGAAGTATAGCAAAAATGGAAAACTTTAGCAATCAGGACATTGTGTTAAAATTAATTTTAAAATGTTTTACACAATGACAATATAGAAACCTATGACACAAAATTAGTTTATTTTACTTTGCCCGAATGTAAAAATGAAGAGTAGAATTATTAAGAGTAATTTACATAAATAGGAGTAAAACATAATGACTTTCCCAATATAAGACTATATGTTTTTGTTTACCAATGTAGGACCTTTGATCATTATAAATTAGTCATTATTCAAGTAAATGTCCATTATTACTGGACATTATTCCTCCCACTAAGACATTAATAAGTCCTATTTAGAGAATAAAAAAGTTTAAGTCCTAGATTAGAAAAGTCATTACGTTTTAGTCCTATTTAGTGCAAATTTTACAATTTATTAATCTATTACAACGAGTTTGGAACAAGAATTAAAATCATACATATCTTTCATCCCAAAAAAAACTTTACTCGTAACTATTCTAAAGTAAAAGTTCAATATTTTTTTTTTTTTGGAAAATTTCATTGTTAATTTAATAAAAGAATGATATTTTTACATCTTATTTTTTAAAATTTTTTATGTAATGTTTATATTTATAAATATTATCCACTAATTCTACCTCAATTGTTATACAAATTTAATTAAAATTTAATTATGCAAAAGAAAGAAACGGATATACATAAACTATCCACATGGAATTTAATAATATTACAATAAATTGTTCTAAAAAATATTTCTTCTACCCCGTACATGTTACGGTAAAATATTAGTTCCATGTATACAAGTGTCTCAAATAGCCGTCCGAGGATTCACCGCATTTGAGGTAAAATCCGTCGGTCTTGACCTTCCAAGACACGTACCTCTCCCCTATGCACAAATCGTGTGACGCGTCGAAAACCGGCAATCCTCTATATCTAGAGCCCCAGTAGAAGTCGCAATAGAAGAGAGTCGACCACGTCCAATCCACCCGGAAGTGGATCTCACGTTGATCATTCTCCGCCATTGTCCAGTTGCCGAGATTGTCAGAACTGGAAAAACAGTGCGCGAACAATGGCTTCGAGGGCTGGATCGAATTGTGGGTCGGGATCGTATTGTTGATCCGTACCACCTTTCTAGGGTTAAAGGACACGGCCACGGTCGTCTGTAGATACGGCGACAATGTGCAGAATATGACGATGAGGGAGAACATGAGGAATGGAGAGGTTGATTTTGTAGAACACATCGTCAATCGAATCTGAAATGAGGTTGAGCATCAATTCATATATGTGTTGGAATTATACATGTGATGAATGAGGTTGAGCATCAATTTAAAAAAAAAACTAAAAAAACATGATTTAAAGACATATAAATTCAAAATTTAAAATTAAATGCATCTATTAAAACACAAGTACACAACATTAGAGCATTGGATTTGATTGAAAAAATAATTTCAGAATTTAATTTAATGGAAAAAATAAAATTCATTTTGAATGACCAAAATAGGAACTATTATCAAAGAAAAGCAAACATGCAAGCATAACAACAGACCACATCACACACACAGAGTACATATCATTCCACATAAAACCACAAAACCTTCCAAAAAAACACACATAGTTAAAAAAACAAGAAAAGCCGAGACATAAAATTCCACCATGCATGGTTGAATAATCCAGTGGCGGAGCTAGGAGGTCACTAGTGTGGCCACGAGGGTCGGCGGCAGCACCCCCCCCCCCCCCCACGAATTTTTTATAAGGATATAATAAAATGATTGAAAAAATTTATTTCAAAGAATCAAATTATTCACAAAAAATATAACAATAAAATGTTATTATTATTAATTATGCAAAATGTTAGTTCTTTTTCAAAATAACAATTTGGTTAGTTAATTATTTATTACTGAGTAACAAATTTGTCTAAAATTATATGGAGTAATTCTTACAATAAAATAAAAACAGCAATAATAACCCAATAGGACCCGAGGTTTACTTATTAATAAAATAAAACTATTATTAATTGAACACAAAACAGAGTAATTGAATAAGACTAAAATATAATGGCTTTCCCAATATAGGACCATATGTTTTTATTTCTCAATGTAGGATTTTTGGTCATTATGAAGTAGTCATTATTCAAGTAAATGTTCATCATTACTGGACATTATTTCTCTCATAAGGTCATTATTAAGTCCTACTTAGAAAATAAAAAAGTTTAAGTCCTATATTAGAAAAGTCATTATGTTTTAGTCCTATTTAGTGCAAATTTCACTAAGTTTTAATCCTCATAAAACATTGATAGAAAAATATACGGAGTATGTCACTCTTAACTTAAAATGAACCCCTCAAATGACAAGTACTCGTAACATACCACTCCAATAAGATTTTAAAATGATCTTAACATGTACGGAGTATATAACTTGTTTTTAATCCTGACTTTTTTCTAATTAATTCTGAAATTTATTTTTAAAAACTATTTTTAATAGTTAAAACAATGCTGATATATTCTGTTTTTTTGTTTTATTTTTCTTTAATTGTTTTGAACTATTCTAATTATATTAAATCCAAACATTTGGTTGTACTCTAATTATATATGGAGCATGTAAGTGCATTGTATTGAAATTATTTATAGAAAATAAAAAAGAAAAATTCACAGATATACATCTAAAGTCCAAAAAACAAAAGAGATAAGAGTAATGAAAGTGATGATTTTCAATCACAAGAACTTTTTCAGCATCTTAGATCTATTTCTATGATTTTTTCAATTTTTTATACGGATATCAGAGTTTCATGTGGAGTATTAAAAAACCTTATATATTGAGGTTAATGTGGAGTTTTAAAAATGAAATACTATCTCTGTCCCACTATATTCGTCCACTTTTGACTTTTGGAATTGTTCATCTAAGCACTTTGACTGATCAAATTCTCTCAATTTGTAAGGCTAAATATAGTCATGTGTGATCTTGTTTGATTTGTCTTAACATATAGATTATTCACATATAATTTCTATAATTTTTTAATATATAAATTACAAGATAAAATAGATTAAAGAATTGCATTGGATGGTGTGCAAAAATGAAAGTGGACAAATATAGTGGGACGAAGGGAAGTAATTAGAGATGCCACCCTATAGAAGAGATCCTATCTAAGTAAGGTCACTTTACGAATGACATATTTTCCTCAATCAATGTATTTTTCTTTAAAAGCAATTTGACATTAAAATGAAATGAAATATCTTTTCTTTTCAAACCCAAAACAAGAAACCCAAAAAAAAAAAAAGAAGAAGAAAGATATGCAAAGCGAGATCACAGACATGGTAAGGTACCTGAGAACTGAAGGACTCCGAGAGAGAGAAGAAGAAGATCTAGAGAAATCCAAACTCACGGCGCAGCAACTCTACACTCTGGGAAGATAAGAAGCATGTAGAGCAAAGCAATTCAGTACTTTTTAAATTTTTAACATTCTTAATTTTTTTTTTCTCCTTTAATGGTATGTCTTAAAAGTATTGTAGAAACGGTTAAAAGTAAGGCAATAAAAATCCAGGTGTTGCCTAAAAAAATCATAAAAACATCAAAAGATTGTGTAGGAGGGAAACATGAATTTGGATTTGATAATTTCATTTGATTATGTGGGAGGAAATTGTAGCAGCAATGAAAGAGTTGGGGAGAGAAATACCTGAGGGTGATGGAATGAAGAGGAATTGGGGCGGACGAAATTGGACTGACGAGAGAAATATCAATGTAAATTTCTTTAAATAAATTAACATTTTATGTCATTGTGAACCGTTAAAATATTTGTCTCTTTTTTTAGGGTACGAGTTCAGTACCTTACGTGAAACGCGACTCCAAGAGGGAAGAAGATAAGTCAGACATTAAGACAGATTTAGCTACTCCGTTTCTACTCAGAAATTTTAAATAAAACGGAGTAGCCTAATCCGTTTGCTTCATTTAATTGCCAAACGGAGTTGGCAAATCCGTTTCACTATTTTTTATTTTATTTTGGATAGTTTTCCAACTAGATTGGCTAATGCGTTTACCATTTATTTTGCCAACAAAGTTGGCTAATCCGTTTACTTTTTTTTTAATTTCTTTATCATTTTAAATCATCTTCCCTTTTTTGTTCAAATAATTTTTCTTACTTATAAATAAATTATAAAATTTAAAAATAAAATATTTTTCTTTATCATTAAAATATTTTTGTTCATAATTTTCTTTGATAATTTTCTTTATCATTAAATAAAATATAACTACCATTTCCCACTCCCACCTAACCATTTATTTCGCATCTCAATTAATTTTTTTTTCCACTCCCACCTTACCATTTATTTCCCATTCCAACTAACCCCTCCCAACTACCAATTATTTCCCCTTTCAACTATGAATGTTTGGAAACATATTAGGAAAAATGAAGAAAATAGGTTGTATTATCGTGTTGTGCAGCACCACGCACAAACAGGGATATACTCTGTGGTGGTGGATGGGTCGTCCTACATTGCGCAGCGGGAGACATTTACGGTGAATTTAAATGCACGAACATGTAGCTGTGCTAAATGGGTTACATTTCACCTCCCATGCAATCATGTCCACGCACTATGTCATTACTGTAGTGTTACCGTGGACCGTTTGATTCCAAATGTTTTTTCAATTCAGTCTTACATCAACGCTTACTCTGGCATCCTTATGCCGCTACCAGATGAATCCGAATGGCCTACTCCAGAGTACGAGATCCTGAGGCCAACGCCACGACAGACCACACAAATCGGCCGACGTACGAGAACCCGCTATTAGAATAATATGGACTATCAACCGTGGAAACATCGTAACGAGTAATAGCCGTGTCATTAATAGCTGTGAAACGGACTAGCCTAATCCGTTTCGTAATTTAATGAGTGAAACGGATTAGGCTAATCCGTTTGGGAAAATAAACACCACCAAAACAGAGTAGCCAAATCCGGTTGGCATTTTTAGAGAAAATGTATTTCTGAATTGCATATAAATGAATGAATAACACCGTTTTTACACAAATAGAGAATTCACCCCAGAAACCCAAACTGGCACAGAGTGAAGTAAGAAGAAAAGGGTAGATCACATGTGAGTGGGCCATGATTATTCCTGCACCCACCTGAGTGTGGAAAAGGGATCACATGTAGTACTCCCTCCGCCCACCTAAGTTCTTCCCGTTACGCGTTACGAAGCTTGATCGACTTTATTTTCAATTCAATTTAATTGATTATAGAAGTAAAATTTTAAAATGAAATTTATATAGTAATAAACTACATGAAAAATTCTACAAAACTAAAGGTGTAAAGGCTATATTATTTTATGAAATGACTAGTAAAAATGAGCAAACAAAGTGAGTAAAGTTTGACTCTGTGAATAGTGTCTGGGAAGATTAAACCGAGGGAGTATTTTTTAGTGGGGTTCATGCGGGGTATCTTTGAAAATGAAAAATTAATCCTATAAATATGTTCTTCCATAATTGCAAGAATGGAAAAAGTTCCAAGATACAAAAGCCCATCCCCTGGTCCACGAGAAAGAGCTAAGCATTCCCATACCTGCACGAGTTACACATGGGCCTTTAGCAGGGAAGATTGAGACAGAGTCCGAGCCTATTACGCTGAATAGTACATCAGCTTTGTTCAGTACAAATAAAAAATGAAAGAAGACTAAGGCAAAGCCTCGGTCTTGCGCGATAGTTACTACATCCGTCTTGTTCAGTATAATAAAATAAAATATGTGATACAGACTAGCGTTTCCACGAGAAAGAGCTA